AACGCCAGGATCTCCGGCGCTCCTCGTCCCTAAACGCTTGGAGGGCTGCTTTGTGCGTCTGCCCACGCCCCTGGCACAGCACTGCGCCCAAGCACGCTCAATCGGCCGCTTCGTGAGGGGCCATGTAAAACCTACCGAGATCGGCGCATCTAAAAACCTGTATTTTAGACGATGGGCCCAGGACGGGAATGTAGCAACACTCACGCGCAGCAATGGTTTGTCGTTAGCTCGGGCAGCACTTTGGGTAGCCATTTTGGCTCAAGGCTCGAACCCGCTAAGGAAGCGAGGGTACAGGCAGTGTTACCCAAAGTGCTGCCCGAGCTAACGAAAAACCATTGCTGCGCGTGAGTGTTGCTACATTCCCGTTCCGTACATTCCCGAACGCGCGAGAGAATCCGGGAAGCCAGGGCCCCGCACCCACGGCTTCCGCCGGCGGAGGCGGCCGCGCGTTAAACCGTTCGCCGCCCTCCGCTGGCCTCCCGCTGCCGTCCGCCGCGGAAGGCGGCTGCCTTCTCATTCTGGGCCTCAACATTTGGCCGAAGGGTGGCGGAGAGGGGGGGCGTCTGGCTCTGAGCCGGGGATTATGTCTTAGGACGGGCCTGTCCTCCCTACAGGCGGATTTTGGACGAAGAATAAAAAAATATTCTCAAAAAGAGTCCAGACATGCTCAAAAATACTCCAAAAATCGTCCCCTGACTATTTTTCACTATTTCTGAATACTCCTCCTGTAGACGAACACGCCCGACTTAAGATTCGTCGCTCTACTTTAACCAATCGAGTGAGCAGACTGGGGGGAAGGGGCCCTGACCCGTCGCCCAAAGCAGCCGAGATCTGGGAGGGGGGGGGGGCCCGCACCGATCGGCGAAGCTCAGGAGAGGAAAAAACACACAGACACAATTAATCGTCGATCCCCCAGAAAGTATGGGAAAATATTGGAAGTGGTGGGGAAGACAAAAACCCAGAAAATATAAGAAAATATGGGGAATCTGTTTATTTGTGTGTATTTATTTGTGTGTCCCAGGGCCCCTTCAGAAGCACTGAATCAAAGACCCGCTGCACGAGGATGCCAGCTCCTTCGATGCCTCGACGGCGAGGCACTCCCTGGAGCGCCTCCTCTGGGAGGCCCTCCCTTCCTCGCGCGCGGGGAGGTCCTGCTCCCCAGGGCCCCTCGCGCTGCGGCAGAAATCACACCCGGAGGCGTTTGTTTACTGCTTTCGGTAAAACAGTGCTAAGATCGGGATAAATCGTTCCAGAGCGTTCCGGAGCGCTCTCAGAGCGTTCCGGAACGCTCTGGAGCGGCCGCGGCGCCCAATACATCCTCCAAACCCGCCGATTCTCAGAGATTTCGAGTTATCCCGAGCCGATGTTGTCCCGATCTTCGCGTCGTTTTATTCGGCCTCTGGGGGCCCTCACCCGGCCCCCGAGGCCGTCACACAAAACAGCTGCGGATGAGAGAGCGGTCCCTGGAAGGGGTCGAGACCTCTGGGGGTCGACGCTGGGACCAAATGGCGACTTCGGGGGTCTGGGTGTCTCGCACGCGAACAGGTCATGCACGTCTTCGGGCCATAATTAGCTTGGGCCTCCCGCCGCCGATCGGGACGATCCCAGGACATCCCCCGAACGCTCTCGACGAGGCAGAAGGCATCCCAAAGCGAGAAAACCTCCAGGAGTCGACGAGGACCTCCAAAACGCATCGGGAAACGTCCCCTCATGTTGACTGCACTCCAACCCGATGTGCAGAAGAAGAAAACGCTGTCTAAACATAGACGTTTGGAGGTACGCGCTGATTTCTTGTGTCGGCGCTGGACCGCTCTCCCTGGCGAGTGCAGGGGCGGCGCCAGAGGCGCCTTCAATGCGCCTATGCAAGAAATCCGCGTGGACCACGACAGTGTATGTTTATCCCGATTCTTCTCCTCGAGTTATCAGAACCCCACAAAAGACGTACGCTCCCAACCACGCACAAAAATCCGGTCCCCAGTCCGCGAGACCAGCCTCGTGACACGAACATTCGCGCAAAGCGTAGTTTCGAACCGAACCTGAATTCATGTACGCGTACGTCCTTCCTCGCTCCTGAAGTTCGGCACCCGCGTTCTGCGGGCGGCAGGTGTTGACACAAGTACACATTGTCATATACACACTATCATCTACATACGTATCTAGATCTATATATACACAGACACACTGCACTTGGGCCACCATTGGCCATGAAGTAATGGACAGACATAACTCGGGGGCGGCCAAGAGGGGGGCGTCCAAATGGGGGCGGGCGCAAATCATGGCCGGCGGCACATGCGCGGTCCAAAGGGGGACCAGGGACGTTTTCGAATAAGGAGAGGCGCCATGAAACCTGGGGAGATATCATGGCCCCCGCCATGATATGCCCCCCTAGTCATCACCCCCCTCTTTGCCGCCCCCGAATAACATCGTATAGACCAAGGCCGCGCTAACGGCGATGTTGGTTAACGGCGATGTTGGGAATCCGACTTTTGTAACGCCGAGCTCGCGAAGAACAAATTGTAGGAAATCACGAAACACCGCTTCCTACATCTCAAATGCGCGAACGCATCGAACGAAGACGACACGGCGAGTTGTAGGAAAGCACGAACCACGCGTTCCTGCAACTGGTTCTCCTACTTCGCCGGTAGCTAACACACCGTTGGCGCGTCTACAGTAATATCGGCTACACGCAAGAGTGACCCTGGGTGAGAGTGACCTTTGGTGTGCGCGGCTTTTTAGGGGGCCGCGGGGAGACCAAACCTGGGTGCGCAAGCCGCTGCTGCTGCGTCGTGTTGAGCCATCTGAGGGCCCATCTGTGCCCGCACCAACTGGCCATCGCTCGGACGTCCATTATTCCCTGTGTTTTTGGGGGTTTCGTGCGTGTTTTTTCGCCAAATGATCAAGGATGCTCCTCGATGTTGTAAAGTAGGTTTCTCCAAAACACTTAAATAGCCACAGAGGTTGCCAGGACGATTGCCGAAATAGAAGTGGATCTTAAATGGGTTACAGCAAATATGGTTTTTTTGTATAGACTACACGGGGGCAGTGCCTTTCCCCATTTGGAGAGCACCCAGACGCAGGCCTTGGACATCTACATGCCAGAAGAAAGAGCCCCGCCTACGAACCTCGAAACTCAAACTGCCACTTCGAAGCCGAGTCGCCCATACCATCAATCAAGGTAACTCCGAAACTCGCGGGGAGGGGCATGCCTGAGTTAGCCGACGCAGTCGAACCGCGAGACGGGGGTCGGCGGAAGTCATGGCGACGGCCACGAAAATACAGCGGCAACCGCAATCCCATATTGATGGCTTTCATTTTTTCTCTGACGGCGTTGCTGATTCCAGCGTCTTCCCGACTCGCTGCTCTGCCCCAGGACGTCTCTCCGCAGTGGCAAGCCGCAGCAGCTGGCCTTCCCTGACTCCTCTCTCATTCCTCCTCGCCCCTCAACTCCACCTCTCTTCCCCTCCCTGTCCTTCTATCCCGCCCTCGTCCTCGCTCGGGCCACGGCTTGCCAACGGAATCTAGGAGGCAGCTCATTGCAACCCGATAAGCTTTGAGCGCGCTCTCGCGCCAAAGTCTCCGCAACTGTGAGCTGAAAAAAACGAGGCCTGGGCAATAGCTTCTCATCTCCCCAAGAAGCCTGGCTGGAACGAATCAGCGAAGCATGAGTTAAAACACGCGGCGCAATGGCCACGCGATTCAGCATCGCCGCGCATCGGCGCGACCACAAACGGGGAACAGCACGCTAACTAATCCGTCTTCTTCGTCTTCCGAGGCGGGAGCTTGGTGAGAAGGCCTTTCTGGGGCACCTTGCCACCGCTGCCAGCGGCCGCCGTGCTGGTTGACGTTGCAGCGGCAGCGGCAGCAGGCTCGGCCTTGGCAGGCGCGGTCGGCGCATCCTGGGACGCTGAGCCCTGCCCGGGCGCATCCTCGAGCTTCTGGGCGAGAGAGGCGGGGAGCGTCGCCAAGGGGACCCCCAGGCGCCCAGTCACGTACTTCAGGGTGTTCTGCTTGCCACTGTCAGTCACGATGGCGTTGCACAGCACGGCCGCCCCCATCAGCTTCGCGACTTGGTCCCGCTTCTCCTTGAGGCTGGGCAGCTTGCTCTTGGTGTCGCGCAGCTTCTCGAGCTCGCCAGGCGAAGCCCAAGAGGCCGACTGCGTCGTCGCGCAAAGGTCCTCGACGATGCGCTCCGACATCGTGAAGTTCACAATGAACGACTCGGTCTTCTGGAACTCGGCCTCGCGCGCTTTATCTGGGGTCGAATCCGCCAGCCAGCACTTCTCGTCGAAGGTCCACGTCTCGATGAGACCCCAGAGATTCTCGCCGCCTTGCCCGTACTTCGCGAGGAACGCGTCGATGTGCGCCGTGTCCAAGTTCGACAAGATCATCGCGGTACCCGCCTGCCACTCCTTGATCAGGGCGGCCTTCCACGTCTGCATCTCGGGCTTCTCTTTGACGACGTCGTGCAGGCCCTCGTTCAAACGAAGGTTGGTGTTTGCCGCAATGCAGCCCACGCTCTTGCCCTGGGAGATCTGCTCGTAGCACTGGCGGATCGTCATGTAGGACTTCGCTGAGTCCACCAACGGCGTCACCGAGGGCGGGAGGCGAGACTCCAGCGTCTTCATGGCAGACAAGAACTGCGCATCCACCTTGCAACACTCCTCACTGCCGACGATGTCCTGGAAAATCATGTCTATGGGGGCCTGCACGGAGTAGGACGACAAGGCCTCGGAGAGTTCCTGGAAAGATGAGACTCTGGTGTCCTGCACTTTGGACGCGCACTTCACGGACCCCTCTTTGACCCAGATCTCGCTCCACATTGCGATCACAGAGGCGCTGTCCTTGTAGCAGCTGCGTTGCTTCACATCCGATATGTCAACCATCATCTGACTGCGCTGCTGCGCCTCCACGATGACGGCCCTGTCGGCTGCCCCGACATCAAAGGACAGCAAGAACGTCGAGATCTGAACGACGAGCCGGAAGGGGTCGGCCTCATGCTGATCAATAGCATCCGCTTCACCTCGCAGGAAAAGGGGGGCCTGTGGCAATCTAAAAGGTCGCGAGGCCCTGTGGCAACTGGCAATCTAAACCGTCGCAAGGCCTTGTGGCAGTCTAAAGGGTCGCGAGGCGCCTCGCGACCGTTAAGATTGCTGCCGCAAAGCCTCGCGACCGTTTAGATTGCCACAGGGCCTCGCGACCGTTTTGATTGCCACAGAAATGGGGGGAGGCACGGAACGGCCCTCCGACCACGAAACAAATCATTATGGCAGCGTTCTCCGTCCACAAAACAAGCCATCATGGCGTTTCGGATTTGGTTCCAACGGCGGTTTCCATTGCCGTTCCCCAGTGGGGGCGGCATATACATCGCGAGCGGCTTATGTGGCTAACGGGAGGACCCGTGGGCCCCAGGAGACCCAACGAACGCGATTACCCCCTGGAACTGTCCTCGGTCATCCTCCTTCCTCCTCCTCCTCCTCCTCCTCCTCCTCCTCTGCCTCCTACCCCCTTTCACCCCGTCTGTTCATAATCATCCATCCCGTTCTCCATCACTCCTCCTCCCACATCCTACACATCTTCCCCCATCGTCTTCCATCATCCTCCTCGCCCTGATCCTCTTCACCCTCTCCCTCCTCGCCCTCATCCTCCTCCTATCCTCTTCCTCCTCACCGACCCTCTTCCCCCTCAATCATCCCTCCATCCCCTATCCCCATCCTCCTCCTCACCCCCTTCCTCATCACCATCCTCCCAAAAGGGTATTCTGGTATATCCTGTTAGACCCCCCCCCCATTCGTACAATCCTGAGGGACCTCCGGACGTAAAAATCAAGTTGTTGGTCATGATGTCGTTCGCGTAGTCCGTGAACTTGCCGTAGTGGGTGAGCACCGCCGCCATGGCATTGCAGGTCGTCTCGATGAAGTCGTCGCGCAACTTCAGCAGCTCGACGTTCTTCTCGCCGATGTTGTTTGCGTCGTCGTCGAGCGTGTCCACGTACTTCGAGAACTTCTGGACGTCGTCGCCTTTGCTCTCAGCGGCCTTCACGAGCGAAGTGTACAGTACCTCCACGGCGGCCTCGCTATCCATCGCCTGGAGGGTCTCACTGATCTCAGCCACGAATTGCTTCAAGGACTCTTCCACCTCGAATGCGAGCGGCCCGAGCTCCGAACCGACATCTTGTTTGGGGATGCGGTCCCAGGCAGCCTTGGCGTTGCTGCCCGTCCCCCCGCTGACCCTGATGAGACAACGAAGCCTGTTGCTCATCATGTGCTTGAGGGAATCCAATCTGAGAGCTTGCACTCGAAGATGCCGTGGAAGCCTCTCCGACGGCTCGAACTCCAGGATCATACCGAACAAGCGCATCGCGTCGAGGTCGACATGCACCTGAGGCATCCACCCAGTGGACGCGCTCACGAGAGGAACCTGGACGTCCAAGCTGTCCCGGTCAACGACGCCAATACAGCTGTCGCATTTGCGCATCGTCTTGGAGAAGTCTGCCTCGGACATTCGCTTCAAAGACTTCTCCATGAAGCTGGCGATCATGTTCGTCTGCGTGGTGGCCTTCGTCTCCTCGGCGTTGACGTCGACGCCCTCTTTGACAGTGAGCGCACCCACCGAAAAGTTGTCAGTCCCGCGGTCCTTCGCAATCATGAGGGCGGCGACCATGCCGTCAATGCCCAGCGACATCAGGTTGAAAGACGTGGTGCTCAGCATGTTCGCCTGTACGGTGATGTCTGCTGTCTTTAGGACGCCCATGGTATCGCTGGAGTTCTCGATTGCCTTCATGGGCGATTCCCTCAGATCCTGCAAGATCTTGCGGCTCTCCTCGAGCCTCACACTCATGTTGAAGAGGCGCTCGGATACCTCAGACGAGCCAGCCTCTCCAGACACAGCAGACACCTTCGAAGATTTGGCCGACAATCTCGTGAGCATGTTCTCGAAGTCGCGGGGCCTGTACTTCTTGTTCCAGAGAACACCCGTCGAGTAGGTCGTCTCGGCCTCTTCGAGCAGCGAGCGACCCGAGTCGACGGTGCTCGCGGCCGCGCTTCCCGCGGCGCCGCGACGGGGCTTCCTCTTCGGGGGCTCGGGGGTCCCCGACGCTGGGGGCGGCATCGATGCGGACGGGGTTCCCTGAGTCTGAGACGACGAGCGGGTCCTCGAAGCAAAGAGGGAAGATGCTGGTGTCCCAGCGCTGGCCGTGCCACGGCAGCCATGAAAAGACGACGAAGCAACGCTGGCGTTGTCGTCATCCGATCCCCGCGTGGACGGAGCGCCAGCGGCGGCGATGGGCCCCGCCATGAAGCCGCCAATAGGGGATGGCTCACGTTCATCTGCTTCGGCGCGCTGCTGGTGCTGCTCGGCCGAGTCGTCCCCTGCCGCAAAGCCATCCGCCTCAACGTTCTCGACGTGGCGATCCCTGGCGCCACCTGCGTCGGCGTGCTCCTCGGTCTCATTGTGCACGGCGGCGCGCTTCACCCCGCGCCTGAATTTGTAGGACGCCCCACGTGGCATATCAGTCACAAACACCCCGATCTCCCCCGTCTCCCCCACTCCGACCTCGTACTTCATCGTATCCTGGATGTGGTTAATGAGGGACTCCTGATCTGGAAAGCGGAGGTTGCGGTCCTCGGCAAACTTCATAAGCTCGTGAAAGTGACCTTCCTCGAACGCGTCCGTGTAAGCCTCTTCCTTCTTGCTGGTCTCGTGCTTCACGTTGGCGCTCTCGGAGTCCTGCAGCATGTTGGTGCCTGTTGCACGGTCCTTTCGAAGGCGGTCGTGTCTGTCAGCCTCCGCCTGACTGCTCTGTATCTTCTCGTTGACCCCCAGTTGGCTCGTCCCCTTCAAGTAGTAGCGACCTCTGACGTATCCGCAATTGCCGCACTCGTGCCCCATGGGCGTCCACAGCTGCGTGGACTTAGCGAACTCGAGCTTCGGCCACCAGAGGTACTCGGCCTCCCCCTCCACGTGTTTCTCGTAGCCGCGGGTCCCCTGGTGGCACGTAGTGCAGAAACTCTCGCGCGCCTTCAGCAGGGCATGGTCGGCCCCTGCCTTCGCACCCCTCCCATGCTGAACGGGCCTGGGGGGCGCCTTGTCGGCGCTCTTCTGATTGCACTTGCCACCCTTGATCACCTTCTTGGCCACGGCCTTGGGGCGCGAGCCGCCCATGGCGCCCGCCGCCTCCTCCGGTAAGAAAGAGCCCCTGGTGCCGGTAGCGCTGGGCGGACTCGGCCGCGCCACGCGCCTCGCGTTGGCGAGCTCACGGCGGCGCGCGGCGCCTGAACTTGAGCCCAAATAGCAACGGTCGTGGGTTATGGAAAGGATGCAAGGACCCTTGGCCAGACGTGACGGTTCATTCCGTCACATCTACGAAGCCCACGAACCTCGAACACCAGCATGGTTTCTGTCACGCAAACTGGGGTGCGTCACATTGGGTTGCGCCACAGATTGCGCCGCCGTTGGCAAATTCATTGCGCCATGGGTTTCGCATTGGGTTCGCTTTAGTTCCCATTCCAATGTTAGTCAGCGTTGACCCCAAACAGCGATGTGTTAGCCAGCGTTGGCCCCAAACAGTGGTCCTTTTTTGTATTATAGTGAGGACAAATAAATTGAAGTAAGAGGAAGTAAAGTTAAGCCAAGTAAAGTAAGGTCAAGTGAAAGACCAATACTGCTAATACTATTACTGAACTTATTACTACTTTCTACAGGTACTGATAAGCATACGACTTCTACTACTACACCTATTCCTACTAATAGTAATACTACTACGACTACTACTACTACTACTACTACTACTACTACTACTACCACGACTACTACTACTACTACTACTACTACTACTACTACTACTACGACTGCTACTACTACTACTACTACTACTACTACTACTACTACTACTACTATTACTGCTACTACTAATACTACTACTACTACTACTACTACTACTACTACTACTACTACTACTACTACTACTACTACCTGCTGCTGCTACGACTACTACTGCTACGACTGACACTACTACTACTACTACTACTACTACTACTACTACTACTGCTGCTACTACTACTACTGATAATAATACTACCACTACTACTACTGGTACGACTACTACTACTACTATTACTACTACTACTACTACCACTACGACGACGACGACTACTACTACTACTAGTAGTACTACTACTACTACTACTACTTTTATTAGTACTACCACTACTAATAATAATAATAATACTCGTACGATTACTACTACTACTACTACTACTACTACTACTACTACTACTAGTACTAGTACTAGTACTAGTACTACAACAACTACTACTACTACTACTACTACTACTACTACTACTGCTACTACTACTACTACTACCACTACTACTGCTACTACTACTGCTACTGCTGCTGCTGATGCTGCTACTACTACTACTACTACTGATACTGCTACCTCTACCTCTACTGCAACTACTTGCGCTGGTACTCCTAACCCATGTTGACTTCAAGTTCCTACCCGTTACCGCTAGGTGCCACTTTTATTTTTCGAGCTGCGGACAATACAGAACTCTGAAAGGGCGCGCGCCGCGCATTGGAGGCGCGGCGCCGTCTATGATAGACGCAGCACACCACAGAACACACATTAAGTTCAAAATCCAATCGGTCACCGATAAGGGTTCATTTTAGTTGCCATGTCAGTCAACATGGCAACCTTTCGGTTCTGAGCAATGCAGAACTCTCGACGGGGGCGCGCGCGCCTGAGGTCCTGTATTGCCCTCATAGAAAGCATACAGCAGAAACTATGCTAATATCATTACCCAATTGGTCGCTGTTAAGAGCGCGCTTTAGTTTCCAGGCCAGCACCGCGACGTTTTCAATTTGCGTAAATGAAGCATTCCCAACGTCAGCATAGACAACGCAAACAACAGAACCCATGTGAACTTTCTAGAACACGTGTTCCCGCACTTAAGGTTTCACTTGGGTTTTCATGCCAACGGTGCGACTTTCTCATTGTGCACGGATACAGGACTCCCACCAGGCGCGCGCGCGTGGGACATCCTGCGTTGCCCATCATAGAGGGTATCCAGAAGAACCCAGGTTAACTTCAAAATCCAATCGGCCACCGTTAACGCTTCATTTTAGATTCCAGGCCAACATTGCAACTGTTCTGTAGTTGGCACTCCGGAACTCCCAACGGGCGCGCGTGCGGGAGGTTCGGCGCTGTCGTCATACCTAATTCGCAAACCAGAACATGGGACTTCAAAGCCCAATCTGACACCTTTAAGGGTTCACGGCAGTTCCCATGCCAACATGGCAAGTTTTCCGTAGTGGGCCAGTCTGAACGCCCAACTGGCGCTCGCGCGCGCGGAAGGCTCTGCGTTGTCCGTCAACGAAAGCATGCAACAGAACCCATGTAACTTCAAAAACTAGTTGGCCACGGCTAAGGGTTCACATGCAGTTTCCATGCCATCCTGGCGACAGACCTTTGATGGATCAGCATGAACTCTCAGCAGGCGCGCGCGGGGGCCCGCGCTGCCCATCATAGAAGACATACAACAGAACCTGCGTCAACTTCAAAATCCAATCGGCCACCGTTAAGGCTTCATTTCAGATTCCAGGCCAACATTGCGACTGTTCTATTGATTGCGGGCGCTCCGGAATTCCCAACGGGCGCGCGCGCGGGAGGTTCTGCGGCGCCCACCATCGACATCATAGAAAAGAACCAATGTAACTTAGACGTAAAACCTGTCACCGTTCATGGAAAATCTGGTGTCCATGCCAACGCCGCGACCGCCCTATTGTTCATCGCGCTGACGCCCCAATGGGCGCGCGCGCGCGGGAGGTTCTGCGCTGCCCACCATAGAAAACAACACGCAACATAACACATGCCAACTTAAAAAACCAATCGGCCACCCTCGAGACTTCACATAAATTTCCCAGCCGACGTGGAGACGTCCGTCTCTTGTGCAGGCATAAGAGAACTCCCAGCGGGCGCGACCGCGCGCGTTGGAGGTCTTGCGTGGTCCATCGCCAAACAAGAAGCACGCAACAAAACCAATGTTAACTGACCGAGATGCCTGCAGAGCGCGATTGCTGCGGTGATTAGAATAACTCGAGTAGTTGTGCCCCGCGCCCCATTTGGTTTCCGACGGCATAGCGCCGTGGCGCTGCTCCAGTCCGATCTTGCACAATGGACCGAGGACTTCGTCGGGTTGCCGCGCCCGAGTAACCCTCTGAGTCGCGGCATGCTGCACTGCGCTGCAAACGATCTTGGTCATCGGGGGCCGACTCAGGGGGCTCGCCATCGCGCCCGACAAGAAACATTGGTTGGCCAAGCCCAAATGGCTGCGAGGCGCAATCGAGCAGCGCGGGTTCGCGGCCACTGGGAGCCGACGGTGAGCTTGCTCCACGGCCGCGAGGCGTTGAGCGCAATCTGGTTTGTTGACGCACAAGTGGCGCGGACTACCGTTGTCCGCGAGCTTGCTGCATGATTGCAACATGGGTTTGTCCATCAAACGCCAACATCATGCAACCCACTTGCATAAGTAGGCCACGATGGCACGCGAACTTCACATGACTGGCGCGTGGCTTGCGCGTGGGCGGCTGGGTCAACCGCCTGCTCGAAGTTGCAGCGCGCGCGTGCTTTCCATCTGCTTCAGTCGGATTCGGTCGCGCGCGCAGTGCAGCCACGTTGGATATGTTTGCGCGCGTGCACATGAGCGCGACGCGCGGTGTACATCCATCTTACCTCGGGCGTTCAGGCTTGTTCAGGTCCTTGAACGTCTGCCAACAACCACGCGTTCAGGTCTGTTCAGGTGGACCATGTATTGGAAATCATTATGTGAGAGAGGTCCGTTCAGGTCTATTCAGGTCCGTTCAGGCCATTCAGGTCCATTCAGGTCCATTCAGGTCCATTCAGGCCCATTCAGGTCTGATCATGTATGGTAGTTGGCCATGATGAGCTGATGTGCATCACGCATCTTATGAGTGCCATGTTGATGTGGTATGACGAACCTATCAATGCAAGTATATGCACGGCAACCGTTTCGGCTGCAATCGTGCCGCGGTGCGGTACGCACCATCGGCCGCAATGCTGGCAGAGCGGCAGAGTGAACACTTGCTCCACGTCCGCGCGCAATGGTATCCAGCCCCATGGATACCTATATGTCTATCGGCAAGCAGCGCCTTGGAAACCTGCTGGCAAAAGCTAACGAAGGGGCTACCGCCCCTTCCTCGGAGGACGGTAGCGAACTCGACGAACGCGACGCGGCGCATTTCCAAGGGCCCCAAACTTCTCGGGCGCGTTGTGGGCCGCGCCCATGGCTGGCGATATGGCTGACCTGAATGGACCTGAATAGCCTGAATAGCGGGTTCTGGGTTGCCGCGGAGGTTGGCGGGGCCACTTCCCCGCTCTGGATGACCCCCAACGCGCGCGGCCTCGGCCGCGCGGCCACGTGGCGATGATACCCACGTCGCGCGCGCGTGTGACCATGGTCACACGCTCTCGCGCGCGCGTGGGCGGTTCCAATTTGTCCAAAACATGCACCATATTCAATGTTAGTTTGGAGATCCAATCGATCACTGTCACTTTAGTTTCAATGCCAACATGGCGACTTTCCGATCGTGGAAAATACAGAACTCACCACGCGCGCGGCGCGCGCGCGTGGGGAGTTCTGTAATGTCCACAATATAAAAAGTCGGCGCGTCCGTCGGCCTCCTTAAAGGGCAACAGGAATTTCAAATTCAGTTTTTGAAATTACATGTCGACTTTTCTAGGGGGAACAATACACATCTCCGCATGCACGCGCGCGCGCGCGTGGTGAGTTCTGTATTGTCCATCATAGAAAAGTCGGCGCGTCTGTCGGCCTCCTTAAAGGGCTACAGAAATTTCAAATTCAGTTTTTGGAATTACATGTCGACGTTTCTAGTGTGTGCAATACAAAACTCTCCATGCGCGCGCGTGGTGAGTTCTGTATTGTCCATCATAGAAAAGTCGGCGCGTCTGTCAGCCTTCTTAAAGGGGCCGCACAAATTTCAAATTCAGTTTTTGGAATTACATGTCGATTTTCCTAGTGTGGACAATACACAACTCCCCATGCGCGCGCGCGTGGTGAGTTCTGTATTGTCCATCATAGAAAAGTCGGCGCGCCTGTCGGCCCCCTTAAAGAGCCACAGAAATTTCAAATTCGGTTTTTGGAATTACATGTCGACTTTTCTAGTGTGGACAATACACAACTCCCCATGCGCGCGCGC